CAAATCTAAAGCCGTCAAAAAGAGACAATAGTATTGGCTTTAGTTAGGAGTTTAGACCAATTGTTGTCTTTTATTTGTTTCAATCGTTTATTGGATTCTTCATCTCAAGTCACAATAAATCGTTAAAATATTTATTGTTTTTTTGTTTCGAAAGTTATATTGAAATTGAGATTTCATTTGATTTGTAATATCATAATTTTTTTTTCTATCAAATGATTGTTTAGTTTACAGTTATAATTGCAAATTTAGTATAAATTAGTCTCTTTATACACGAAATCTTTTATTATTATGATTAACAATAAATTGTATCATTTCGGACCAATACATACTGGACTGTCATTTACCGTACTAATTTAACATGATAAACTGTGGTGTGATCAATCTAATCTTAGTGCCTGGGCTACAGTTCTTGGGGTTATAGTCGAAAAATGTTCACTGTTTAAATCATTGATTGCATTATCAATTGTAAGTGACCAGCAGTTTAAGATTCAGTGAAAAACATCCATAAAATGATATGAAATTGTCATGCATTGTATGATTTGGAAATTGAGTTAACAATACAAAAAGATCTAGTGGTAAACTATTGATTTATGCAATTCATGATGGCATTGATACTGTCAGGGAAATGCAATATTTGTATACAGCGTTACTGTACTGTAGTGCCGGTGCACTGTATTGATTGCACTACAAATTGTATGGCATAGCAATGCATAGAGTCTATGCCATAGACTGTATTAATAAGCATGTGGTGATCACTCACTTTCCTCATACACGCTAACTATACAAATGATTAGCAATTGGACTCAATTGTGATCTTATTTGTGACCACATCTCATACCATACCATCGCATATAAGCAATGGGTCTGCGGGTGAGGCAATTGTGCCACTTATTGGTGATTACATTCATATCAGGCATAGTATTGGTGGACAAGTGTTGTGGTAATGATGTGATGGGTTGCGGGGGTTTCGTGAAGTCTATCGTTAATATTAATTACAACCAAATATTTATCAAACTGTAAGTCATTTAATCATTTAGTCTTTTATATGGCATTTGCATCTCATTTCACCTCAAAATGTGTTTCAATGATAGTCTGACCGACAAAGGGATCGTAAAATACTCGACTGATTGCGCCCCTAATAACGGCTATTACTTCATCCCATTGTATGACAAAGGCTTATATCAGCTGAAGATAGAGCCGCCGAAGGGATGGACTTTTGATCCCATGTTTGTTGACCTCAACTTCGACGGCAAAAGTGATCTCTGTTCCCAACAAAATGACATTAACTTCGCATTCAAAGGATTCACTGTTTCGGGAAAAGTATTGCATTTTCTCTTGAATTGATTGA